TGGCAGCAGAATTAGCTTAAAGGATTTACGAAACTGCAGACTGTGAGGAATTGACTGCGCTGGCTTTTTGGGGGCATTTCTTAGAGTTTTGCACCGTCAGCTCTTCTGCATGTGGCCCAGACCTCGCTAGCCTGTCGCAGGAGCCATGTGTTGGTCTCATGTCCTAGTGCAGGTGGCAGTGCCATTCCTGGGTGGGGACGGAGCAGGGCAGGAGGGGGATCAAGGGGCTGTCATCACAAATAAGGGGTTGGATGAGAACTGATGGGTGGCCTGTGGTGGGAACAAGTGAGAGTGCAAGAGCTTGGCCTGTGCTGGAGCAGGGCCACTGGCTTGATTTCAGCACATGCGCGAAGCGTGCTGCCTGCCTGGGAATCCTGCTGCCTTTCCATGTGCCTTCAGCCACCTGCAAGGCAGCCTCTGGCTCACCTTCCTCGCTTCTGTGGTGGAGAGGCTTCTCATGTACTGACAAGACGTGCAACCTCAGGTCATTCCTCCCTGCGTGGGACTGACTGTGTGCGGGCCGTGGAAACAAAGCTGCGTTTCTGAAACCTCTGGAAGCTGCTGGGTGGCGGAGGCTGGGGCGGGGGGTGCTCAGTGCCCTGACTGAGCCAGTGTTCAGAAGCTGTGCCTCTGTGTAAGTGTCACTAACACTCGAGAAGTGTACTTTGCAGTGTGGTAAATAAATCTCTAGCAAGTGGATGTTGCAATTGCAAACCAAGAGGAGAAACCAGCCCCTCGCTGCAGGCAGAACTGTTGGCTGACAAACCAGCCTCTTCCTGCTGTGCTGGCGGTGTTTCCTCCTTCGCTGCCTTGCCACACTCTTGGCATAATTGCTGGGGAAGCGCCAGCACCTCGTGGCACTGCCCAGCCTCGCTGCAGAGCGTGGCCCTGTTTGTAAGCAGTGAGTCTGGGCTTCTCTGGGAGCCGAGTGGCTTGTGTCACTTTCACCCCGTCATCTTCCCAAAGCACGTCTCCTTTCGCAGTCCTACCCTGAGACTCCATGACTCAGGCAGTGGTTTCTCTTGCTGTTTTGGGTAACCACCTTGTCTGGACAGAGGCCCACAGGAGGTGGTGGATGGGGGCAATTTATGGCACTGCTGGTGTGGGGAGTGGGTGGGAGCTCTGAATCCGCAGCTCATAGGTGTGCAGCCTAGAAAGTCAGTGGCTTGCTGTGCAGGGCCAGTCTGCTGCCATGTCCTGTTGGGCTCCTGACTGGTGAGCACTGGATTTACTGGTGTAGAAGTAGTATCAAGGCTGCAGAGAGCAGCAGCCTTTGATTTCATGAGGGACCAAAACCAGCAGTACAGTTCAGGCATTGCACTGGATATTTGCTGTTAACTGCACTTGCCTTGGCACAGGCAACAGCGAATTAACATGTGGAGCAGTGAGCACACCTTCACAGGAAAAATATATGCAGCTAATTGGGTGATGAGCTAAAACCTAGCAGCTGTGGGCTGGCCCAGAATGTGGGGTCAGAGGACATAGGGTTAACTAGGGCTGGAAGTCAACATCAAGTGCAAATGAAAGCATGTGAGTTCAGGGAAGCTTGGAGGTGGGGCTTGGGAGGCTGGGGTGCTCTTCCTCCCACGCCAGCCTGGCAGATCTGGCTGGACCGGAACAGCCTCCAGGGTGACTGAAGAACTGCGCCGTCAGACCCTCTCTGGGCTCCGGGGAGCCGGTGTGACGAGGCAGTGTATGTGTCAGCCGGCTTGCTCACAGCGCTGCTCCCTGGGAAGCACACCGCGGAGAGATGGGGTTTCCTGTCTAGACCCCGGTAATCACCATGAGGAGGGGTTTGCACGCAAGCTTCTGTGATTACCAAAGCAGAAACCAGGCTACTGCTCCTCAGGAAGGAACACCTCACTTCTGCCACGTGTCTCGGAAAATGCGGTGATTGTCTGCTGCTCATTCCCACTTGATTTGGGCTGTTGGAGCAGGAGCCAGCTGGTGTGCTGTCTCCAGTGCTGCCTGCTGCCGGCCTGCAGGAAGGCTCAGGAAGTTTGCATCCCGCCAGCTTCAGGTGCAGGGTTTCCCTTGGTGCTCAAGAAATGCTCCTGGAGCCCAGGGATGAGTCTCCTTGCAGAGCACTTTTGGGAGGAAGGAGTAAAAGCATCAGGAGGACCAGCCCTGATCCTCTTGCCCCAGAAACTGCACGGCCGAGGAGCGGGACTGAGGGGAATAGAAATTCCCTGAATCCTCACCTGCCTGGGACCGCAGGTGATGCTTAAGTAAAGAAATGGTGTTAGACCCTGTCCCTTGCTGTGTAGCTCCAGCACCCCTGCTCCCCGGGGAGGGCAGAGCACGCGGCTGCGCAGGAGTGGGCAGCACGGGTCTGCGTGGGCCAGGACAGCCGTGAGCGCTCCTGCACTGCGTCAGGCCGCTGCAGTGCTCGGGGTGCCTCGTCCTCAGGGAAGCGGGGCCCGCGTGGTGCCAGCATGGCTTCCTAGCAGGGGATGTTTGAAAGGTGTTAGGAGAACAGAGCCGTCGTTCGCAGTCTGCCAGCTCCTGGCTGCACGTGGAGGCTTCCCTGTGCGGCAGCAGGGCAGCCTGGCTCTCCCAAGGTTGCTGCCGGGGCCAGCCTGCCCGTGGGGAGCTGCTCTCTAGAAGTGTCTCTTGCTGTCTGGTGGGCATGCGGGGGAAGGGAGAGGGCAGAAAGCCAGCACTATTTCATAGACTAATTTAATTTCATTTAAAAAAATGCTTCAGTAGTAAACGAATGAATAGAAGTCAGCTCTGCTGATGCCGCTCTCCCCAGTCAGTGGAGTGAGGTGGAGCTTGGACCCCCACGCAGGTTTTCCGGGACATGTCTCCCCTCACAGCCTTTGAATTCAGTTCCCTTGATGTGAAATCAGAAAGCCAGCACTATTTCATAGACTAATTTAATTTCATTTAAAAAAATGCTTCAGTAGTAAACGAATGAATAGAAGTCAGCTCTGCTGATGCCGCTCTCCCCAGTCAGTGGAGTGAGGTGGAGCTTGGACCCCCACGCAGGTTTTCCGGGACATGTCTCCCCTCACAGCCTTTGAATTCAGTTCCCTTGATGTGAAATCCCTCGACGTCCGTCCAGGCAGCGTGAGAATGGCGTGGCAGAAGTCCTGCTCGTGCGTCAGCGAGTCGTTGGCAGCAGGAACCCGCGCTGTGCCTCCTTTCCCAGCAGCTTCCTGAAAAGCAGCTCTTGTACGCGAGAGGGATCCCACGTGCCTGGGGACAGTGTGAGAGGGACAAGGAGCCCTTTGCCATACCCACAGCCCTAGCTGTTGCTGACAACCTTGACTGTTTAAAGAAAGGCCTTTCAGTATTTAGAAAGGAGGCTGGAAGAGATGTCCTCATGGCATAGGCATTTCAGCGGACTGTACAGAAGTGTCACCGCAGGTCTGCTGCGAGGGGATGGGTGCGGAGTGATGGCAGCAGGACTGTCCCATCTGCTAATGATTTTTCCTTCAGCATTATGGGTCCCAGCTCCCCATCGGCTTGTAGGCGTCAGGGGAAGGCTGTCTGAAGAGCATCAACTTTGCAGGTCTTGCCTGTTGCTGGCTGGCAGTGGCAGTGTATTCTGGTTTACAAGCAAGCTCCCCCTGGCCTGCGCCCCATAGCAGGACAGTGCTGCTTGGTTAGAGGCCAACGTGAGTTTTTGCTGCAGCCTGTGCCCATGGGTGCTGCTCTGCTTTGGCCAGCTGGCAGCTGGGGGAGCACCCTGGAGCAGCTTTTTGTGCTTTCCTCCAGCCCCGTTGCATGGCTGAGCGGTGCTGAGGACTTCGATTGTCCCCCTCTAGCTGTCCTTGGTTTTGGTGAGCTTTGGCAGCCATTTGTGCCATACTGGGCTCCTCTGCCTGCGGCTGGGGGGGGCTTTTGTGGAGCCTACAGCACGATGTGCTAGGCTGAGGCCTGGACTGCTGTAATTTCGTATTGGTATCTAGCTTGGCCCGGAGGCTGATCTCTGTCAAGCTCCCCAGGCCCATGGGAAGGTGCTCAATGTGTAGCTGGAACACGGCAGGGTGGTGGGAGCATCGTGCTGTAGAGGTCCCCAGCAGGCTTTGCTGAGAAGAGGACCTTGTGAGGACAGCGAGCCCCATGCCAGCATGTAGCAGGTACCACCTGTGGAGCCCTGTGTGTGCCCCTGAGGGCTCTCCCCATGGTCCTCCACACGCCCAGCTCTGCGGGGCCTCCCCGAGGGTCCCCTCAGCCCATAAGGACGGGTGCTGGGAGCGGTGCTGTCCCTGCGGCCGCTGAAGGTCTGCGTCCAGCACGGAGGGCTGCCCGCCCTGACACAGCAACGCCCTCTCCGGCCTGGTGTCCGCCGGGGACTGTTGTGCCTGTTGTTTGGAAACCAGAGAAAATAGTCAAAAGAGCCAAGTGCCGATGTTTCCAGTCACCTAGGAGCACCCAGACCAGCAGGAAAAAACGCTGCATGAATTCCTATCTTGGGATGCACAGCTTTGGGCTGCTTCCCTGCCAAGCCTAGCCTAATTAGAGATGATTAAGGAAACACACGTATTTGGTGATGATGCCAGGGAATTTCTGATAGAAAGGAGGGTCTGGATTTAGAAAACTGGCCTAGTTGGGAATAACAGCCTTTTTTACCAAAGTGCGAAAGGATTTTGCTGTTGTCTCTGAAAGGAGGCTTCAGCATGTTGATTCTTCTCTGGGCTCCAGCCAGGTGTTACAGGATCTGATTTCTTTTTCCTTCCCTGCTACAGTTAACGTATCCCACTTTTTGCAGCGCTGCTGTTGCAATAACCTTAGCACCTCCGAGGAGAAGGTTTCAGAGGGGACAAAATTCAAAGTCTGTGTAAACAGTGCACAGGCTAAACATTAAGACTTCCAGAATACCTCTGGAAATGAATAGCCGCTGTTCTCGCTTCGGGAAACCCGTAGGGTGGTGCGTGCCCTCAGCAGGCTGCCTGTTGTTCCGCCCCGGGCAGCTCTTGCCCCAGCACCCGGGCACCTGCTGTCAGTGTCAAGTCGGACCTTAACTCTCCTCTGGGTTTTCTGCCTTGCAGCAGAAGAAGTCGTACCTGGAGCGGAGCGTGAAGGAAGCAGAAGATAATATCCGGGAAATGCTGATGGCCCGAAGGGCGCAGTAGCTGCGCGGTCCCCCCCAAGGCCTCCTACGACACCTCTGGGTGGTTTTGGGCAGCTCTGCCTGCTGCTGCTCACTGCCACCCTGCTGCAGGAGCTCCGTTCTGTGGCAGTTTCAATAAAACTTTGCTGCGAAGCCTGAGCCTCAGCGTCTCACGGTGGCTGCTCTCCCTGCGGGGATTTGATGGAGAAAGGAGGCGGGGGTGGGAGTTGGGGTGAGGACCCTTCGGGGAATCCTGCTTCACTTTAAAGCACGGCCAGACAGTGCGGGACTGGCCATCACAGGCACCTCCACGTCCACGGTGGGTAGTCATTTATTCGGTCTTGGTGGTGACAGGCCCTGGTTCCCTCCCTGTACACGTGGGGCTGGCAGAACCCCAGTGCGGCAGCGAGCTCGTGGAGGCCCAGTGCCACCCTGTGCTTTGTGCTCGCAGTGCACCAGCCCGGCCTTCTCCTTCCCCTACTTCCTGGCTTTGCTGCTTCTCTGAAATGGAGCTTTCAGGGACATCTCCTCCCCTGCCAGCAGCTCCTTGGGATCCTGGAGCTGGGCAGGAGTTTCCAGATCCCATTGCTAACCCCTGTGCTCTCGCCCCATAGCCACATGGGTGCTGTCACCCTTCGCCACCTGCTCCCTGCTCCCAGGCCATGTCACCTGCTCACTGCTTTCGTCTTTGCCAGTGATCACAGACCTGGTCGCTGCCTGATGGATACGGGGGCCATGGGCTGATCCCCCCAGTGTGTTCACACACTGCACTCACATCTGCACACTCTGTAGGGAGCTCTCACCCAGGACAGAGGTGAAGAGGAATTTAATAAGAGCGGGCAGACTGCGCTGATCAGGTGCTGGACAAGTATACCGACCAGCTGGTCATTTACACCCTGGTAAGTGGTCCTTTCATCCTCACACCTGACCTTTTCCATGCTTGTTCCTCCCAAAAATCACCTACATTTCCACCAAACATCCCATAGCAAGTCCTGTGCAATCCCAAACAGCTTTTCCCTGCATCTGATAATGTGTCCCACCCCAGGCATCAGCCTCTTATTCCACAAGGCAATCCAGAGAGCTGCTGCAGGTCACTCACGGGGATGGGCACAGCCTGGACATGGGGCTGCAGCTCTGTGGGGACGCTGGGAAGGGCTCTGGGCAAGGTGTCTGTGCCTCGAGTGCCCTCGGGTTGGGTTCCTGCCCGTCATTGTGCTGGTGTGCACCTCTGGGCTTGTGGATGGGCCTGGAAGTGGCCCGGCTGGATATGACTTGTGCTGCTCCCCTCTTGCTGGGTCTCTGCGCTTCTGTGTGGGTGTGCAGAGGTGCTTTGTCCCAGAACTGACCACAGGCTGCCACATCTGCTGCTCCCCAGCCTCTGCCAGCTGCTGTGCTTGGCAGCGCCCAGCAGAGATGGGAAAACCAGGTGGGTGCTGGACCAGGTGTCTGTCCACCCATTTTGGTCCTGGGGCAGGGCAGATCAGCCCATAGCTGGGCTTAGCGGCCAGGGACTCCTGGGCTGCTGGGCACCAGTCTGGGCTGAGCTTCGTCCCCTGCCCTGGCTTGGCACCAGAATGGGGAAGGCCGTGTCCAGGCTCAGTGGGGGACTGCAGACCCTGCTTTTCTCCAGCTGGTGCCCTGCACGGTGCAGGGTGGCTAGAACCCAGGGCAACCCTTCTCAGTGGAGGGGGGGAGATGTGGCATCCCCTCCGTGTCCCCAAGGACAGGGGCTGTGGCCTTGGGGGCAGGGTGCTGCAGGACTGTGTGCTGCTGTAGGCACACGAGCCCAGGCCCACAGTCATGTTATTAGTGATGGGTGCTGGAGCAGGAGGCAGACAGCAGCGAGCCTGAAGCCTCACCCCTTCCCACACTGGGGGCAAAAGGCCCCCCCGAGAAGCTCCTGGTCCTACCTGAGGCACAGCAAGAACCAGCCTGTGGCTGTGAGGAGACTGCACAGGGCTGGGGGCCACCTCGGGGGAGCAGGGTGGGTGGGCTGCCCACTGTGCTGAGATGAGGGCTGGAGGGAGGGCGAGAGGGGGGCAGCCAGGGCATGGGCGGCTGAATGCTCCACTTGTACCGCCCACCAAGGCCGGCGGAGCCAGGGACCACCCTGCTGAGCCTCGAGTAATGGCTGCAGAGTTGACCACAACCGGGAAGGTGACGGCAACCGTTCCCAGGTGGGGGTCTCTGGGAGTCCAGCAGCAGAGCCCTGTCCCTGCGTTGGTTCCCTCAGCCTGGATGCCAGAGCTGGGCCCTCGCGGGAGCAGAGCTGCTGCCTCGGCTGCAGCACAGGAAGAGCCTGAGGGTGCAGGCAAGCACAACCCTCATTTAGCTCGGCTGGGGCCACCCTTCCCTTTCCTGCCACCTGCTGCCAGGGCTCAAGGAGGCTGGATGCAGCATACAGAAATGCTCTGAAGCCCAAAGCTGATCTTCAGGCAATACAAAGCCAAGCCAATGTGTGTCAGGCCACCAGGATCAGTTTTGCTCCCGAAGCAGGAAGACCAGCAGCGCACTGGGGCAGTGGGCAGCTGGGTGGGAACCATCCCCATGGTGGCCAGTAGCAGGTTTCCCCACTTTTCTGCAGACAAAAAGCTTTTTATCCCTCTTCTGGCTAGGCATGCCATGAAACAGCTTCAGCGATAAATCCTCAGCACTACATTAATCCATGGCCTTGTTTCTTCTTACCCCTTAACTTCCCCCCCCAGCAAGCCTGTACTCTGCAGCAGGAGGATGATGGATCCCTCCTCCCTCCAGGGCTGCTGGCATGCACACTCAGCAGCTCAGCATCTGCTTCCCCCAGCTCTGCCACTGCAGAAGAGACCCCCGGTCCCAGAGAGGGATCCACATGCCCAGCCATGAGTCAGCAGAGGGATGAAAACCCGACTGAGCTGCCCTGTGCGGTAGGAGTGGGCCGGTGGTGGCAGCCATGGGCACTCCACCCTCCCCAGCCCAGCTGGCTGCCCTGTGCTCTCACAGCTCACGCAGCAGGTTGCTGCAGAAAACCCCCTAGGTGCTGGTAACAGCAGGGCCAGACACCCCCAGCCCAGGCCCCAGCTAGGCCTCAGGGCATGCGCTTCTGCAGCAAAGCTGCGTGAAGCTGCTTGAAGTCAAGTCCATCGTTGCTGCTGCAGAGCCAGCGCATGCGGGAGGCTGAGAACAGACAGCGACAGGGGAAGCACACCCTCTACCGGACAGGTTTATTGAAACAGTCGGGACCTAGCAAAGAAAATCAACTGTTGGCTTTAATTATTGCATACGTCTTCATTTCTAGGACTAGGAAAATTTCAACTGATAAATATACATTTCATCAGAATGCCTTTGGCTGAAATATACCATTAGCACATTCTTCAAAGTTACAACAAAAGTCTTAGAAATGTTAAAAAGAGATTTTTTTCCTTTACTAAAATAAAGGAGTGCACCCCCCACCCCAGCAAGGCGCTAGAACTGACAGACAGAAACTCTGAGCTGTGCAAAGCAGAGCATTGATTACAGTAACAGAAAGAGGTCGGGACAGGAGTGGGGAGCCTGCATAGCACTCAGTGAGAGGTACGGGAGGCGGCCGCAGCGCAGTCAGGTCAGCATGTCCCAGAGGCAGCAGCAGCAGAGCGCAGTCCAGCACGCTGTCAAGCAGGCGCTCTCGCCTGTGTCGTCCCTCCGTCGCTCCTCCACAACGTACACTGCGGGGACAGGAGAGCTCGGTCAGGCAAAGAGCAGCACCGCAACACTCGCCTTGGCTACCCGCGCGTGCTGACCCCGGCGCAGGCACAGTGCCCCTCTGTGCCCTGGCACTCCTTTTGGGTAGCCCCCACCTGCTGGATACCAGCTGGGGCACTCGCCAGAGGGGAGGTGCTGAGCTCCCATGCTGGGTGCCCCAGCCCCTCCGGCCACAGTTTGCTCCCCGCAGTAGCACCCTGCGAGGAACCGCTGCCCCCTTCCCCCACCGCAGCACCCCTTGGACAGGAAGGGGCCCTGGGGGAATCACTTCTTTCCGCAGCCAGGACCAGGCTGCTGGGACTGCACAACACCGCAATTTCAACACAAGCAGCCGGTGCAGCTCAGCCAGGACCAGACTCCTGTGACGTCGGGTACGGTTACTGAGCAAGAGAACAGGCTCGGCCTGGAGGGCATCTGCTCCGCGTGAGCTGCCCTCCCCAGAGCGCCGCTGCCTGAGCCTCCCTGCCTGCCCCGGAAGGAGCACATGAGTAGGGTGGGGGGTCAGCTGTGGCCAAGGGCCACACTCCCCCCCCAGCCGCTCACTCGCCACCCCTCCTCAGCAGGACAAGACGGGAAGAGAGGATGAGAAAGCTTGTGGGGCAATACAAAGACAGGGAGATTGCTTGCTGTTACCATCATGAGCAGAACAGGCTCAACTGCGGGAAAATTAAATTAATTGATCATCGATCAAAATAGATTTGGGTAGTGAGGAACAAAGACAAACACTAAAACACCACCTTCCCTCCTGCCTCGCCCCCTCCTCCCCATCGCAGCCCAGGGGGACGGGGAAGCGGGGCCGCGGCCCGCACGCAGCCGGGAGAGGTGAGCTGTGCAGCCGTGCCAGGGATGTTCCCCTGCAGCCTGGGCAGAGCCCATGCTCCCCCGGAGCCCTCCGCATTCTGGGGTCGTTAATCTTTGGAGGGATCGTTAGGCACCTGGGGATGGAGCAGGCAGCTCGATGCTCCTGGCAAACCGTGCCGAGACCAGCAGGAGCAGCTGCCCTGGGCCAGACCGTGTGCTGCCGGGGGCTGTGGCAGAGCTCCCAGCTGCCCTGAGCTCCAGCACCGCACAGCCGCTGGGGACCGACCTAGGGTCCCTGCCAGGAGAACCTGCTCCAGCGTGGGTCCTCCTGGAAACATCCACCTGCTCTACAGGTTGCAGTGGATACCTGGCACAGCTCGTCCTCCTCGAACCATCTCCTGTTTCTCACTTTTTTGTTCCCCCTTGTCTCTGGCATTTTCTGCCCTTTGTTAAGGATGTTCTGACAGAGGCACCACCAGCTTTGCTGATGTGCTCGGCTGTGTTCTGTGGTAAGTCTGCTGCAGGACAAAGAGGTAAGATCGCAGGAGGTGGTCTCAAGGTGACATTCAGCTACTGCATATGGATGGCCAGGGGGAGGTGGGTACAGACAAGTCCTGGGAAGAGCCAAGGTCAGTGGCAGAGCAGTGTCCCTCCTGCCCCTCAAGGCCACAGAAAGCTCACTCTGCATCTGGGGCATCGGGCAGAGGGTGCTTTTGCACCAGCCAGCACTTCCCAGTGGTACGAAGGTCTCGCCCTTGCCAGGCAGCAGGCCCACAAGAACCGCAGGGACCGGCTCTGGCTGACCGACCCACCTGACTGTAAAGCCACTGGGGCACCGCGAGGAGCGTGAGCAGGAGGCAGCTGCAGCAGAGCTGGGAGGCATCGCCTGCAGAGCCTCCACAGCCGAGGCCAAGGAGCACCGACAGTGCCTGTGTCCAGAGGACTGTGGGATCAGCAGCAGGCTGACTTGGAAAGCAAGCGGGTGGATTCTTTGCCCTTGGGTCCCTTCTCTGCACAGCCAAACCCCACAGTTTTTCGTACAGTGAAGATAACAAGAACCTGTCTGCTGCCAGGTCTGGCCAGGCCACAGGCAGGAAAGGCTGGACAGGCACCCAGGGCAGAGTCTTCCAGGAGACGCCAGCTTCGCAGCTATAAGTGCATTTGCAGTTTGTCTGCTTAGACTGGCATCGCTAAGTCAGCTTGCTTTAATAAGTAGCTGTTCCCTCACACTGCTCCAGCCCTATCCCACATACTGCCTCCTCTCCTAGGAAGTCAGGGCAGGGATCCATCCTTGCTCCAGCTCTGTGTCCATCCTGCATACTAGGGGACTTGCAGCTCTGCCTGCTCAGCACCTGGCTGGGAGGCGGCAATCCTCAGACACCTCACAGCCCCGGACACTCAGGGCACTGCCTCACGAACAGAAACCATTCAAGCTCTGCCCCTCGAGGGCTGCCCAGAGGCTCCCAGCCGGCCGTTGGGATTTACAGCACGTCGCCCGCTGCCTGAAAGCTCAGGAGGGAGCCCCAGGTTTGGAGGAAGCTCTCCCAGCAGGGTCTCCTACCTGAGGCCAGTGTGCTGCCTGCTCCTTCTGCCAGCCCCTGAAGCCCATTTGGAACAGATCAGCAGTTTACCATTGGTTCCTCTTCACTGAGCTGGGGCTATCACACCCAGAACAGCAGCAGATTGAAGGCAGGCATGTGACCTTCCTTCCTTAAAGCTTTTCGGGTTTATTTGTTATAGTCTGCGGGGGAAACGTGCCCTCACACAGGAACCTGACCCAGGCAGGCAGCTAGTGCTTTAAGTCGAGTGGCTGAAAACGTGGTGTTGACAGGCAGAGGCCTGGGCAGGAGACAACTCATGTCATCAGCCTGGTCCTCCTCTGGGCTTAGAAAAAGGTTCCCTCACCTTCACTGCTTCAGTTCTCTCAAGAGCGATGGGTGGAGGATGACGTACTGCAGTTCACATGGTACCAAAATCCTGCCACCGTCAGGGTGGGGCAGAGAGAGCAATCGCCCAGTAACCCCCCACCAGCATCTGCCCTCAGGCACAGCCTGCACCCCAGCCTCAGGCACAGCCTCCCTCTTGCCAACAGGGGTAACAGAGACGAGGCACCTGCTGTGCGGGCACGGCCCGGCTCCAGAGGAGCCCTGCATGGCGCTGGCAAAGCACCACTGCCCGTCCTTTGCTCCAGGGCTTTGCAGCTGCCTGGCAGTGTTCAGTCACAGCGTGTGGTGCCCTTGCTCCAGAAGTGTCAGGGTGGAAGCACATCTCTTCTCCAGACAGCCCCAGGAGGAGGTGGCAGGCGCTGCAGTACTGCGACAGGATGTGCTGGAGCAGGAGAGGTGCCACATCCTCTGCTCCCTCAGGAGCTGCTGGCCCTGCCTGCCCCTGCAGAGCCAAAGCAGGCACATCCAGGCAGGAGCAGACCAGGAACCTGATGGAAACTTGGCTCCCATGCACAGACGAGGGCCCTGCGGGCTGTTGGGCAGCGCTGCAGCGGTGGGGGAGGCTGCACGACCTCCTCCCTACAGCCTGTGGCCATGGCAGGGCTGTGCTCAGGGCCAGCAGCCCTGCCACACTGGCAAGGACTGCAGAAGGTCCACAACTTGTGACCCCAGCACCGTGGCCTCCTCCAGCGATCTTAGAGAGTCTATTTCATCCCTTTGAAAGGGTGGACCACAGACCCATCCCATCCAAAGACAGAATCTGTCCCAAGGTAGACAAGACTTCAATCAGGCCCTTCCCTCCTACCTGCTCGCAGCCCCAGACTTGCACTCAAACCCATGCACGGAAGACTTGCACAGGCTTCGCGTTCAAACACATGAAGACTTGAGACCTTATCCAGCTATCAGTAGCTCCCTATTCACTGCCTGTTCTCCCAGGTGAGGTGGCCCATGTCTGCTCATTCCCATACACCTCCATGCAGTGCAAACTGTCATCAAGCGTCTGACCAGTCCCCAGAGCAGTGGGCCACAGCGTCACCGACTGCTCAGCAGCGGGAAAGAAGGGAGCTGTGCCCTACTGTCCGGGGGAGAAGCTGGCTTAGCAGAGCTGCCCACACTGCTTTGCTTTCCTTCTCCAGCTGGCACTGCCGAGAGCAGCTGGACACCCGGACATTTGAGCTGTCTACCGTCCCTGGCCAAGCAGCGTTCTCCCCTGCAGCAGACAGAGCTGCCCTTCTCTCCGGCTTAACACGCAGAGCTGTGACGAGAAGCAAGCCCTGGAGCTACACGATGCCTCGGTGCAAAACCAGTCACAGGACTGAGCTGTTCAGGAAGGAGAGCAGCACGGCAGAGCTGCGCAGAACAAGCTCATCTTGCAGGGACTGAAGGAGGTACTGGTGTGTTTCAGGCTGGGAAAAAACCTTCAGGCTTTTTCCTCCCTGGTGGATTCAGGAGCTCTGAACAAGCAGCTAACACTTCAGTGCCTTTGGTTAGGGCTACAAAGGGCTACAAAGATGATCAGGGGGCTGGAGCATCTCCTACAAGGAGAGGCTGAGGGAGCTGGGCTTGTTCAGCCTGAAGAAGAGAAGGCTGTGAGGGGACCTAATAAATGTTTATAAATATCTCAAGGGTGGGTGTCAGGAGGATGGGTCCAGACTCTTTTCAGTGGTGCCCAGCGACTGGACAAGGGGCAATGGGCACAAACTGAAGCACAGGAAGTTCCATCTGAACATGAGGAAGAACTTCTTCCCTCTGAGGGTGACAGAGCACTGGAACAGGCTGCCCAGGGAGGCTGTGGAGTCTCCTTCGCTGGAGATACTGAAGACCTGCCTGGACAAGGTCCTGTGCAGCCTGCTGTAGGTGACCCTGCTTCAGCAGGAGAGGTCCCTTCCAACCCTGAACATTCTGTGATTCTGTGGTTCCCCGTAGGTGGTCCTGTTACAGTCAGCAAAGGCAAAATTCATATCAAATGCTCCAAGAGTCCTGTATAAGCTGATGACACGCAGTTGTCTGGCAGGGCAGAGCGCACACACAAGAGGCAGAGATGGCCAGGAGCTCCTCACCAGAGTGCGGTACCAGCCATACTCTCCTGCCCATGTTCAGGTGGCAGAGGATGCTCGCCAGCTCCTGCCATCCCTCAGAGCAAAGAGCCGAGGGTGCTTTTCCCATGGCTGCTCAGGAAGCTTCTGAACCAGCTCCCTGTACTGGAGCACTGAGGC